CCACAGCCGGGCCTGGCAGGCGTCCTTCGCCAAGCCCTTGGCCCATGTAGACGGCAGCTTCGAAAGCCAGTAACATAGAGTTGCCAGGGCCACGGTCAGAGGCCTGGAAGAGGCGGTTGCTCGGGCGCAGCCACTAAGCCAGGGTCGGCGGATATGCTTTATATATATTAATATTATATATATATATATTGTTTACAAAATATTGACATTACATAGTTAATCCTTCGGAAAGCTCCCGTGGATGTGATTTAATTGCTCACCGCACCTGTTGCTAAAGGCCACCAAATGCTCGGTTCCGCATCGATCGTGGACTCGGTCTGACGTGGGGGGATTCAAGGTGACCCTTCTTCTGAGGAACTTGCCGAGATCTTCCCATGTGCTTGGGATTTTTTGTTGTGGTCTCCATTTTACCTACCCATCCATTTTTCCAATTTTTCCTCCAGAGTCTATAGTGGTAATTTACAGTACTATGCATTCCCCAAACATCCTCGAACCATCCGGATCTCCACTGCCGTTCACTGCTATCCAGAGGCCCGTTTTCAGCATAAATCCAGTGTTTTAGGGGCAAGGCAGCTATGAGTTCCCCTGTCCGTCTTGGTGCCAGGAATCTTGCCCTATCATTCTCCAGCTTTGCTTTGTCAGCTGCTTTGCTGAGCAAGGACGTCGAGGCCTGGAAGAAAACACAGTGGCCACCGCTTTTGCATCTCAGCATGGTCTTGGAAAGACCCGTAGATTTTCAGACGCCATCCCACACCCATGTTCTTTGTCGAAGACGACCGATTCTGCAGGTCTTGTACCGTCGCCGGGATGCCGAATGGGAGTCCGTGTTGCATTCCATCCTGAACTGCAACGTTTGGCCGGGCGTCAAGAGTCTCAGCTGTACCAGAGGAGTGTGACATGATCCTTCATGGCCTAAATTTGCCTCACACCAGCGGCAACAAAGACTTGGTTGTGTCATTTTATGGCTGAAGTTTGGACCTTCCAAACCATGTTGCACTTTCGGAAAGAATCGTATCAACGTTGTTGGTTCTCTGTTCGCGGTGCTTAGATGTTGGAACCGCCTTAATGCCTATGGTGCCACGAACACGGCGTGAACATTCAGTATGAGGAGCTTTCGTTGGGGCACGTGGGTGAGAGGCCAACTGAGGAAACACCTGAAGGTGAAAAGCATCATTTGCAGAGGTTTACAACATGTTATGAATAACATATAATAACATGTTTGTTCTTTCCAAGCAAATCTAAGAAGTTGAACAAGGTTCCAGGAGGTCAATCATGTTTAGATCTGGACTTTCTGCAGGGGAAGTAAAGCCCACAGTTGCTACTTCATTGGGAGATAGTATCGCAAGACAAAGGGTGCTTGGACATCACAGAAACCAACCTTTGTAAAGCTGTGGACATTGACACACAGTGTTTCTTGGCAAACCGTGAAACAGATTACTTCCATGTCCTCGAGCAGGGAATGAGTGCTGGTGACTTGATGTCTTTTGGACTGGATCAGCCGTTGTTTCTTGTAAACATCAAGGGCCTGGTACGATAGAGATCAGTGGCCTATCGCCACTTGCCCTCCGCTTCTCGTGAATATGTCGATATAAGTTCTACATCATGATGTAAAATGCCAAACAAGTTGTAGACTGTGGATAGAACATAAAACAAATTGCCTTACAAGGATTCTCACATGTTCTCACTCTTTGATGTTCATGGCCATCCAAAGTCAAGGATGTACGAGTACAACACCACCATGGCGCAGCGTGGAAAGCTCCCGAAGGGGCCCATGGAGTGGTTGAAGAGTGTGGCAGCCACCTGTCCAAAGAGAGGGTGTGGAGATAGCAGATCAAGCAATCCAGATAGGAAAACAGGACTGCAGTGATGTGGACAGGACCATCACAATCCAGATTCGAGAGAGAGAGAGAGAGATAGAGAGATATCATTCGTGAAGGTGATCTGTGGATATGACAGATCTGTGAGACCAGACCCCACCAGCCATTTTTCTTGGTTTCGCCCGCGGGACCTCAGGCGAACCCGAGGTGGTGGATAAAGACCATTACTATCCATTACCTATATAATAGCGCACTTGTTACTAACCTACTTGCAATGGCCTCCACCTAATGGCGTCCTTGTTACTAGTATAGCTTTTACTATCCATTCCCACCTAAGATTCCGGGCCAAACGCAATGGAAAGGCTTTGGTTCGGACCGGAGGGTCACCTGCCATGGAAGGCCCAAGGATTCTTAGGGGTAATTGTGTTTCTTCAGAAATCCTTTGCAATCGAGGTGGCCAAGAAGCCGCAATATTACCGTTTTGGCTCCAAATAAAGATGTGCCTTCGTTTTGTCATCAGAGAGCTTGCTCGAAGATTTCCTGCTTTACCTTTTGAAGAGGGTTAACAACAAACAAATGCAAACGGAAGACCACAACCTAAGAATTAAATGCAATGACAGATTGTCATCAAAAATACCAGTCTCGTTGGAGCTACATTCGGCAATTAGATTCAGTGATCGCACAGGTCGTTGGAGAAACATTGAGACACATTAGCAAGGGTGCATAAATCTGGATAAAGGGATCCAAGCCTTCATGCAAGCCACTTCTTCAGTATCTGTTCTACACCAAGAAAGGTAGAAAGGTGTTTCTTCACTCGAGAGTTACTGAGGCCTGGGTTAAAAACGCAATGTTGAATCATCCCTCACATGATTTCTCCAAGACCCAGTCTTCGAAATGGTTTTCTTGAGGTGGAGGACATCAGCGGTCCCTTCATTTGCCAATATGGAAGTGAGATCCGTCCGGCCATTTGACTTCGTCCGCATCCGCCGTCCGCGTCCGCCACCCGACGATACCGACGGCTGACGAATCGGAGCCTTAATGGCGCAAGTCTAGAAAAATGTCTCTCAAGAGTCCAAGAGGCAGTATTCAAGGGTTGGAAGGAGAGAGATGGACAACATCATTTCGGAAGGTTACAAGGAGGGGCTCAGTATGGCAGAGCAAAGTTAGACTACATAGATTACATTGCGCCTGTGAATCTCAAGGGACCTAGGACATCCTAGGACTGTGGACATTTCTGGGAGGCACAACTTGGTGACTGCACGGTGCCTACGTTTTCGGGGCCCAGCTTTCAGAAAAGGACCCTTCAGCTTGGGTGAATTCGCACATCCGGACACCAGCCTTCACTCCTGTGGATCCAATCCAACTCAGCAGTTGGACGGTGGAGACGGAGATGGTCTTAACAACTTTTCACTGATCCATCGACCATGGGGCTGTGGTGGGGGGCAAAAAGGGAGCGCGGAATCCGTTTTGGTTCTCATACAATACAGTTTGCATAATAAGCTGTTGTTTGTTTCCTCAAACTGGTTGGATGTCGTTGGTGATTAGTGAGCAATCGAGTCAGGATATGAATTACCAGAAATAGCTGTGCAGGTAGGACCACTTCCACAGATCAGGAAAGTCATGAATCAAACAATGAAACCTACCGAGGTCGCAGAAATACAGTTGAACAAATCACTTGAGGATTCTATTGAGACACGGAGCATTGCCACGCAAGGAATTCCACTTTCTGAAACGGCCTGCCTAAACCGTCCACCGGAAAAGACCGCTGTGCTCGGTCGAAGACGACAGGTTCGAAGCAAGAAGTGGTGGTTCTCCTTCTTCTTGCGCACTCCGGAGCGATTTTTCCAGCTTCCGGGTCATTCGTTGGTGCTGTTCCCTGGCTTGAAAACCCTTAAAAACGGGCACTCGTACGTCAGCGCAGCTGAAAGATATCTTCACCAATCAAAGGAATCAGCTATAGGCTATAGGTCCCTCGAAAAGAACCTTTGAAGGAACCAGGACTCTCCTAGTATACTTTGGTTTCTTCCATGTTCATCCATAAGATGGGTCCAGAGTCTGATGGCTTCAAAGTTCAGAAGGAGAATGGCTCGACCAAAGCTGTGAGCACTTCGTATCAAGTCCCACCTGCTGCTTTCAGGTGCTCTGTTATAGAGTTCAATTTCACTTTCACTGATCCGTTGAATCCTTTGGATGGCTTTTTGTGGATCGGCCTTTGGTAGGACTTTACCTCAGAGATCGAGGACAAATTTCAGAGGCTTTGTCGGGCACTTTCGGGCACCGAGATTTCGGACCTGGCGATTGAACAGTGGCGAGGAATTGATACAGTTTTGTTATGGTTTGTTCCCCAAACAGCTTTGCTGTGAGTGGTTTACAATTCTTGCATAGAAACGATGCTGGACCAAGATGATTCCCGCCCTTTGTCTCCCCTTGCCTGCCCTTGTCTCCCATGGCATGGGCTCAGATGATTTTGCTTTGTCTCCCTTTGTCTCTCTTTGTCTCCCTTGTCTGCCCTTGTCTCCCATGGCATGGGCTCAGATGATTTTGCTTTGTCTCCCTTTGTCTCCCCTTGTCTCCCATGGCATCTCTGGATGCTGGGCTGAGATGATTTTGCTTCGTCTCCCTTTGTCTCCCCTTGTCTCCCATGGCATGTCTGGATGCTGGGCTGAGATGATTTTGCTTTGTCTCCCTTTGTCCCCCCTTGTCTTCCATGGCATGTCTGGATGCTTGGCTGAGATGATTTTGCTTTGTCTCCCCTTGTCTCCCATGGCGTGTCTGGATGCTAGGCTGGGATCACTTTGCTTTGTCTCCCCTTGTCTCCCCAGGCGTGTCTGGATGCTGGGCTGAGATGACTTTGCTTTGTCTCCCCTTGTCTCCCTTTCTCTCCCATGGCGTGTCTGGATGCTGGGCTGAGATGACTTTACTTTGTCTCCCCTTGTCTCCCTTTCTCTCCCATGGCGTGTCTGGATGCTGGGCTGAGATGATTTTGCTTTGTCTCCCCTTGTCTCCCCAGGCGTGTCTGGATGCTGGGCTGAGATGACTTTGCTTTGTCGCGAGCGCATGACGCCTTGGGAGATTTGGCGCCAGGAATGGATCGGCCTAAAAGGAAAACTCCGACTGCCGCTGCTGTTTGGGGTCGATGCTGGTGTAATTTGTTTACTTTAGGCTTGATTTCAGGTCGGGGGTTCATATGGCAGGTGTTCAAAAATCTGTAGCCTCTACCCTCCCAAACGCTCGTGGCTGGACTAAATCTGTGGTACAGTATATTTTTGAGACCCATGCATACCGTGACAGTCTTTGAGTTGGATAGAGTATATAGAACATCAACATGATCAACCCTTCACTGGAAGGCCTTCCGAAACCTGGATGGGAAATGATGGGAAGAAGTTTGGAAGCTGGGCACCGGTGGGGCTTTTGGGCATCCAAGCGCCCGAAACAAATCATTCAGGGTTAACAACTGGCGCGCCCGTAAAAATTCGATGGGTTTTGGACCTGCCCCATCTGGGAACCTGTGGAGGGGCTGTTTTTTGGGTGAGTTGCATATCAACTCCTTCCAGAAACCTGATGTAAATTGGTTTTGCTGGTGCAACCACCTTTGAGGCTTCTTAAGCAGACTTGAAAGACATGCACCTATGAAGAAACCGCAGTTGTGGTGGCAGTTGCTGGGTCGGGAAACTGTACCCAAGAGATTAGCTCGATGGAAGGGCGTTCACTGACTATTAATTCGAGGATAACATTGGTGTGTATTAACATAGGGAGACCTCCCAATGTCCCCGTGGAAAATAAAGGTAAATAGACAGTATTAAAGTACACACCCATTTTGGGGTCCTTTGGTGTGATGAGTCCGTCCCAGCCTTTGGACTGCTTCCGTCCGAATACCCGAATACTTTCGGGTGTGGATCCAAGAAACCCATGGCCCTGAAACTGCCTGAAACTCTCGGAAGCCCGGTATTTCTAGAGAATCTTGATAGGTGTATAGTCATATTGTGTAAGGTCATATAATGTCATATATAGTTACTGTATATAGAATCATATGTATTATATCATCATAATCATCATCATCATCATCATCGTCATCGTCATCGTCATCATCATCATCATCATCATCATCATCATCATCATCATCATCATATTCATTCATTCATTCATTCATTCATTCATTCATTCATTCATTCATT